ACGAGAAATATGGGGGAACATTGTAGGAGAGCCGGCAGAACCCATTTTTCCTTCATGGAACTCACCATCTTGTGTCGTCGTCCCCTTTCTTTAAATTTTTTTCCATTGGAGATCAATGCGGTATTTTTGGAGATCCGTGACACCCGGCAACACTGCAGCGCGGCTTGGAGTTTTCTCCCACAACAAATCGCGTCATCGAACTGCACAATCGAAGTTTCGCTAGGAGCCAGTTTTTAATGGAGGAAAAAATCGCCGTCGAATCGGTGGAATTTTTTCCCCGTTGGTTTTTTTCGCTCGCGCAATTGCCATAGCCGCCATCGGAACTTTCGTTTTTAATGCCTTTTTTATACGAGGCCCAAATTTGAATTGATTTTCGATTCCCACGGTGACTGCTTGATGTACCTCTAGCCTTGGGCCCGGATCCCCCGTTGGCATTTTGGAATTTTGAATGCGGAGCTTTAAGCGTCGAATTGCACATTCATAAAATGTCGCTATTTTTCTTGATCGAAATAAAATGCAAGCACGAATAAAATGCAAGCCGAACTTTGAGAATCACTAGCATATATTCTCAAGGTGCATTTTGCATGGCCACAGTGAGGGATGAGGGAACCAGCGACGGAAAGAAGACCCCTCACTGGTATTATAGTAATAGTAGAATCATTTCTTCATGACAGCTATACAGTCATTTGTACCACGTTAAGCAGAAAGGAACCAAGCCCTTATCAGCTATTGCTAAATTTAATCGGGCAATTTAATTTTTTTCATGAAAACAGTTGTACGTATTTTAATGCATATTTCAGTAAATTTTTTGCAATGTGCGAAGCAAATTTCTTGATATTTTCAAAAAAATTTGCTCGAAAGTTTTTGCAAAAAATTAAATTGCCCAGTTAAATGTGGCAATAGCTGATAGGGCTTGATTTCTTTCTGCTAAACGCGGTTCATTTCACCTTCCTGTTAGCTGTTGAGCTTCAAAATAAGGGGTGCCCATTGACTAACGAATCAATCAAGTAGTCACCTAACAGGTAACCAATGAAAAAAAAAAAAATTCAGAATGTACCATCGATAACGAAGGTGTAATAAAAATACGTATCTCCGTTCGTTACGCACGGTGGGAGTCAATGAGAGAGGTGGGACTTGACATTTTCGGTTAGAAATGCAAGTTTTGATGTTTATTGCGTGCTAGGTATAATAATTTTGAGCCGTGATTTTGAAAGAATTTTTTTTTTAAAAAAAAGCAATAAAAACCCCATATAAACTGCTAACTTGTGAATATTTACGGAGTCATAAGTTTTCAAAATTTTCAAATCTTGTCCGACTTCTCACACTGACCAACTTCACTGTGCAAGTCACAATTTTTTATTTTTTTTATTTTTTTATTTTTTTTTTTTAAAAAAAAAAAGATTTTTCGGGATTTCCTATTCAATTTCTCATTTTATTCCAAATTATCTAGCAAAAAAAAAAAAATTAAACTAAAATACAAGAAAACATATTGTGGCTTCTTCTTTCTTTAAAAACAAGTAAGACGTAAGACTCAGGGATTTTTAAATGTTGCAATGAAGTTACGCATTTTCGATTTTCGACGCACGAACGCTATGTCCTCCTTTTGAGGTAATCAATCATCGATAAACGATTCGACGGCAGTGCAATTGACTCATCAATTGGATGTGTATTCGTGTAATGTGTTCCTCGAGCGATTATCGGCACTCTTTAATGGGTTTGTTTTCCTTTGCAGAATATGACGGAGGTGTTCAAAGTGACAGAGGAAGATTGGAATCCAGGTGGTTGCGCTGGCATGCTGGAGGTGAAGCCGCAAGTAGTGATCCATGACCGGCTTATGACCGACGCGGTCCTCGGCGCCTGCAACATTCCCATCAAAACAGAACACTCTTACTGCTCCTCACAACCCGAGAACATACCCGACTCAGGACTCGATAAAATTGACGGTAAGCACCTCTTCCTTCATCTGGCTAAATGTTTTACACAGAACCAAAAAATAAAAAGATATCTTCCAATTCTGCTGTGCTTATAAAAAGCCCCGCACAGTGGATCGAGTCAATTAGAGAGGTCGGACATGATGAGAAATGATGATGAGGACTTGAGATGAAAAGGAGAAGTCTTCGGCGCGGTGATCGGCATATAACACATATTAGCGCCTACAAGACTGCACGAATACTTCACACATTGCATCAAACACAGCGCGGTCATTGCGGACAGCGTGAAACGGATAGCGCCTACAAGACTGCGTGAATACTTCATGCATTGCGTCAAACACAGTGCGGTCTGCGAGGCGCGGCGGAGGAAGTTAAAATCATTAATCCACATTTATGTCTGTTCTTTCATAATTTTTTCGTTCATTTCTTATGAATGGAACGCCTTGTCCACACAGAGATAGGTTTACGAAACTTAACTTTCGCGCAAAGTTCCGTGAACTTTTGCGAGTAGTGTTGACAGGGCTTTCCCAAAAAATGTGTTCAACACGAGTAAACGCGTCTTATTCCCCCTCCCCCGCTAGCACGTTCATTTGATGGTTTTCATTGATGTTTCAAAACGAATGAGAAGGGGGTGGCAAAATACTAGCGGCCCATGGGCGGCAAGTAGGTAAATCCGGCCCTGCTCCTTAGTGTGCCGCAATTACTCCTGTGTTAGTACATTGGGGAAAAGAATGAAAGGCATAATACTCTAATCTTGTTCCTTCATTTCTGAATTTTATTATTTTCTATTTATCACAAGTGACTTACAAATTGCAGGCGGTTGCTAATTGCCTGCAACTGATATACTATCACTGCTAGTCTCCGAAACAATACAATGAAAGCAATGCAAATGCAGGTTTGAAATTGCAGCGTTTGAAATAAAACCACAGAGTGAAATTCGGAAAGAAGCTATTTTCCTTAGTCTGGAAAACCGCGAATACTAACGTGAAGTTGCAACATATGAGCAACAGTTCAAAGCAAATATGCCCTTGTCGCATCGAGCTCCCGATCGATTCTTTAGGATAATCTCTTAAAATTCTGACGATTCGGCAACACAGCTGCGCAACATAGCTCATTCGGGTGCCGAATGGGGTCAAACCCGGGCGCCCGTATGCGGTGCGGCGCGGTGTTTTATCTGCGGATTATTTTTCGCCACGCTTTTGAGCATTACTGCCGTGCTAAGTAAAAACGCCATATGCACATTCGAGAGTTGCCAAATTTCATGTAGTTAAACATTTATTTTTCGGTAGGGTCATGAATTTTTCCTCTTGAAATTTTCGGATAATTTAGATCCAATCGCGAATGAAGCTCTCTGAAAAATCGGAGGAAAACTATTCACAGCCTCCTCTGAAAATGCGTATTTTAATAGAGCAAATTTGGCAACGTCTGATTGTTTATACTGCGTTCTTTCTTAGCAAGGCAGATTAGGCACTAGCCCGGCTGCCGGCATGGCGCATGGCGCGGAGATGTGAGCGCTCCTAACTATTCCCTGGTTAATTACTGCCTATGTCTGGTGACTTTATACGCGCTGTAACTGGTTCTCACAGCCGCCTTCATCGCGAATCGGCCCGTTGTAGAGTAGGTTTTCCACTTTACCCTCAGGCAAATGGCAAAGAACCTAGGGTTCGGGAGTAGACTAAAGATAAAAATTAAAGTACAGTTTATGTAAGTGAAATTTTTAAAAGTGTTACCTACCAATAAAAATGCATAACACCATTTAAAAATAAAAACTAGGATTAGAAATATGAGAATAATTTCTCTTAAAGTATAGTTAAAGAAAGATTCACAGGTTACAGGCTAGTTCTTAAAGCATGCATTTTATCAGATGCTAAGGCAGAGTCAAATTTTGAAGAGCCTCTAAGTCACTACAAGACGATCGAAACTGTATTATAAATCGTGAAAAATCACTAATTTACCCAAGTCGTGTAATGACTAGAACCTCCGAGTTTTCCAGAAATTGGAATTGTCAATTAATCAATGTAACAATTTTTCCTCAATTTGACATTGGAATGTGTTTTACATCATTTGCCTCCGTCAAACTTTAAAATATTCTGTATTTCATGAAACGTCCGGCAATTTTGAGATTATCGCCCACTCAGTGCTAAAATTTCAGTACAATCATGAACTGAACAGTCGGCGAAGAGCTTTTATCTACTTTTTTTGAGCACTTTCTCCTCAAAATGAATAATCCCGGAGTTTCAATCTGAACTAGGATTTGGGCTATTTGAGAAATATCTAATTAGAACATTAGCCTGCGATAGGGATATAAGTATTGAGAGTTCTGAAAAATACTTATATGAGACTTTCTACGTTAAATGGGGGCAAACACAAGAATGAAGGAGTCTCAGATTTGGACCGCGTTAAACAGAAAGGAACCAAGCCACATCAGCTATTGCCAAATTTAATTGGGCAATTTTATTTTTTACGTGAAAACGGTTCTGCGGATTTTCGTGGAAATTGTAGTGAAAATTCTCCATAGTTTGAAGCAAATACCTTGAAAATTTCAAAGGAATTCGCACAAACATTCTCTCGTAAAAAATTATACTGCCCAGTTAAATTTGGCAATAGCTGATGTGGCTTGGTTCCTTTCTGTTAAACTCGGTCCATTTTTAACAGTGTATCAGAGAATCTCGGGATCGATAGGTTTTTCAACGAAACCCCCGAAATCAATAAACTTTAATCATTCGACAGATGAACACGAGGTAAAAAATGACGATTTCAGGGTCACCAAGTAGTTCCATCGGATGTTCCCTCGCGGCCTAGTTTAAGCCTCAAGCGTGAAGGATCGCATTGAAAAAAAAAAAAAAAAANCTTTACCCTCAGGCAAATGGCAAAGAACCTAGGGTTCGGGAGTAGACTAAAGATAAAAATTAAAGTACAGTTGGATTGCATTTTGCAAAAAGGAACCACTAGCATTGCAATGATGCTAAGATTGTGCAACTTCATCTTTTGCAATAAAATTGCGGAAATCAAGAAAAACTATGAAATTTAGATGGTAATTTTTGTCCTAAATTTACAGTTTTTAGCGAGTAAAATAGAAACTATTAATGGATAATCGGGTTTTTCCTCCAAGACAAAAGAAGTTGCACAATCTTAGCAACATTGCAATGCTAGTAGTTCCTTTTTGCAAAATGCAATCCAGTTTATGTAAGTGAAATTTTTAAAAGTGTTACCAATGAAAATGCATAACACCATTTAAAAATAAAAACTAGGATTAGAAATATGAGAATAATTTCTCTTAAAGTATAGTTAAAGAAAGATTCACAGGTTACAGGCTAGTTTTTAAAGCATGCATTTTATCAGATGCTAAGGCAGAGTCAAATTTTGAAGAGCCTCTAAGTCACTACAAGACGATCGGGCTAACTAGGTATATTATAAATCGTGAAAAATCACTAATTTACCCAAGTCGTGTAATGACTAGAACCTCCGAGTTTTCCAGAAATTGGAATTGTCAATTAATCAATATAACAATTTTTCCTCAATTTGACATTGGAATGTGTTTTACATCATTTGCCTCCGTCAAACTTTAAAATATTCTGTATTTCATGAAACGTCCGGCAATTTTGAGATTATCGCCCACTCAGTGCTAGAAATGTCAGAACTTTCATAAACTGAACATTCGACGAAGAGCTTTTATCTACATTTTTTGAGCACTTTCTCCTCAAAATGAATAATCTCAGAGTTTCAATCTGAAACAAGATATGAGATATTTGAGAAATGTCTAATTAGAACATTAGCCTGCGATAGGGATATAAGTATTGAGAGTTCTGAAAAATACTTATATGAGACTTTCTACGTTAAATGGGGGCAAACACAAGATTGAAGGAGTCTCAGATTTTTAACAGTGTATCAGAGAATCTCGGGATCAATAGGTTTTTCAACGAAACCCCCGAAATCAATAAACTTTAATCAATTGACAGATGAACACGAGGTAAAAAATGACGATTTCAGGGTCACCAAGTTGTTCCATCGGATGTTCCCTCGCGGCCTAGTTTAAGCCTCAAGCGTGAAGGATCGTATTGAAAAAAAAACAAAAACAAAAACAAAAAAAAATGAAAAATTTGACGAAGCGGGGAAAACTCCTCAATTAAAACCGGGAGCCGCATTCGTGACGCAGTGGGAACACTTGTGTTTGTCGTGTGAGCGCACAGGTAAAACCAGATGCCCGCTGTTGCCAAACTGCGGGGAAAATCACCATCGAATTAAGCAAATTGGTCCAATTTCATCTCGGTTACGGCAGCTTGGCGGGTGCCAAAGCGGGTTGGATAAATAGTCGTTTCTCAGGGTTGACAGACCGGCAGGGGACCCCCCAAGCTTTTTTACCGAGAATCGTGGAAAATCCGTTAATAGGCGCTCAGTCTGGCAAGCGTGGTTCTAGTTTCACTAAGCATCAGTTTTCCATACTGCGTCGCTAGGATATGTAAATACGTGTAGAAGGCTACCGAAATTTTCGACTAAAAGTCTGCATTGTGTCCCTCGTTTTGATGCCACTGATTCCTCCTCTCTATCTAAAAAAATAGCTCTACGATCGGAGGCTTGATCGTATTTAACGATATTTCTACACGGTGAATCCACTCTTTAGCTACTGAAATAGCTTTCGCGTTTCGACGCCGAAATCTGACTCAGAAAGCAGTTACTGAATCAGTTTTAATCTTATTTCGAGCCGATGATCATAAATTATGACCTTCAACGAGAAAATGAACCTCAGTTTACAGAATCTCAAAATTTCATTACAATGGATAATTTGTCATCTACGGATATTTGGGACGAAATTGCCAAAAATGGAAACCAAAAAAACCCTAAGTCATGGTAGTTTGAGGTTTGCTGTTGCTATAACTCATTTTCGATAAAAAGCTGTTCAAAGTTCTTATCTTCAATTTTTACGACACGAAATTCCATGATTATGGTGCAACTTCGGTCACAAATTCCAAACGTATAATTCTGAAAAAATTGATCATCATTCCAACGATGAT